ACAAATTATAATATTTTATAAAGGTTAATGAAAAATAAAACACTAATATACTTTAAATAGATGAGCATTCATCCCCCTGAGTCAATACATGTAGTGGCAGCAATTACAGCCGTGAGCCTACTTGGGTAAGTCTCTAAGAGCTTTCCACACCTGGATTGTGCAATATTTGCCTATTATTATTTTCAAAATTCTTCAAGCAAGGTCTTGCCATAGATTTCAAGCAGATTTATGTCACAACTTAATCACTTAGGAACATTCACTGAATTCTTGGTAAGCCACTCCAGTGTAGATTTGGCCTTGTGTTAGGTTATTGTTCTGCTGAAAGGTGAATTCCTTTCCCAGTGTCTGGTGTAAAGCAGACTGAATCTGGTTTTCCTCTAGGATTTTGCCTGTGCTTAGCTCCATCCCGTTTAATTTCATCCTGAAATACTCCCCAGTCTTTGCCAATGTCAAGCATACCAATACCATGATGCAGCCACCACCATACTTGAAAATAAGGAGGCAGTTACTCTGTGATGTATTGTGTTGGATTTGCTCCAAGCATAAGGCTTTGCATTTAGGCCAAAAAGTGTATTCATTTACCATGTTTATTTTTATACTTATTTTAATTCTGTAATTGAGGTCATTATCGTGGAGTCACTTCAATGTTATTGATCCATCCTTAGTTTTCCCATAACAGCCATTGTAGCGGTTTTAAGCAGTTTCCTTCCTGTCTTGCAGCTCAGTTCAGAAGGACGACTGTATCTTTGATGTGTCTGGGTTTTTTAATACATCATCCACAGCCTAATTATTACCTTGACCATGCTTAAACAGATATTCAAGGTCTGATTTGTTATTGTTACTCATCTACCAATCACTGCCCTTCTTTATGAGGCTTTCGAAAAGCTCCCTGGTATTTGTAGTTGAATCTGTGCTTGCAACTCAATACTAGACCGAGGGACCTTACATATGTTGTATGTATGGGGGACAGAGGAAGGGGTAGTCATTCAAATATAATGTCAACCCTTACTATTTTACAGAGAGTGAGTCCATGTAACATATTATGTGATTTGTTAAGTCATATCTTATACATTTTTCTAATTTATGCTTGCCTAACAAAGGGGTTGAATGCTTATTCAACGACTATATTTTAGTTATAATTTTTTTATTAATTTGTAAACAATTGTAGAATTTTCTTTTCACTGACATTATGAAGTATTTTTTTTTTTTTCAATGACAATTAAATCTATTTCAATTTCACTTTGTACTGCAACAAAATGTGAAAAACTTAAAGGGGGGTGAATACTTATGATACCCACTGTACTTCAATTACCAGTAAATCTCTGAGTCACTCAGTTCTTCTGCAGACCTGTGTGAATATTGCATTCTTGTGACCAAAACAACATTTACATTTAGGTGTTGATATAATGAGAAGAAGGTAAGCAGTGATGCGGTCTGTGCTGCTTGGCAACTCGCTGCATATTAATCACCTGATTATTTAGATGACGTGTGTGTGTGTGTGTGTGTGTGTGTGTGTGTGTGTGTGTGTGTGTGTGTGTGTGTGTGTGTGTCGTAAAGGGGATGAAGGATAGATGGATGTATGGAAGATAACTCATATATTTTTTGTATTAAATTAGGAAATTCCATTTGTCCCATTTGAGTGTCTTTAGCAAAGCCAGAGCACAGTACACTGAATGGACTTTGGCCCCTGCCACACCACCAATGCAACCATTAGCACTCAACACTTGTTACACCAGTTTATTCCTCAACACTTGTTACAATATGTTAACACTCAACACTTTTCACAATGTTTTAAACCCTCAACACTTGTTACAGCAGTTTAACCATGGAGTTGGTGTAGCACGGTTTACATTTGCATTCAATCTATTATGTAACCCACCAGGTCTCTCCATCAGCCTGAGTAACTCTTAGACAAACCCATCAGGGCATAGATTCTGTAAATCATGAAACAGCAAAGCCCAAGGTGCTAATGCTCCAGCAATTACCATCCTGATAGCACTAGATGCCACTGTGCCGCTAATTAGCAATGTTGGCCAATACTGGCCCTGCAGAGATAAAATAACTCTCTAGGGCAGTGGTGCAGGGCAGGTCGAACTCTGCAGCTGAGGCAAATGGACACACAAACGGAGCACAAGTTAGTAGAAATAATTATCTTATTACCGTTTTATTCTCAATATTTATTTTCAATATACAGTATTTAAATCCATAGCTTGATTTGTTATGCTATACCATTTCACACAATTCCCAAATATTTGGCACACATTCTACATACACAATCTTTCAATATATCTTCTTACAGTTATGCTTTGTCCTGTTCCACTTGGGTTCTTTGGAAATTGAATTATAACCCTGTTACGACACATATTTCAGTGAAGCAAATATGTTGACATTCAATACACATAAATATAGTAAGCTACACGATTCAATTCAAAATTGCTACAATATGCATGCAGTAACAAATCCAGCTGCTGAAGCATTTACTATACATACTATTCTAAGGATATTCATACCTCTAATAAATACATACTGTACAATCAATGAACACAGAATAATGAAACCTTTCTAACAATAACAAGTCTGTCAAATACAAAAATACTTGCTTTTACTGGTTTCTCCACTCTATGAAATAGCCAATGTCCTGATAATACATTATCCACACATACAAATTCCCTGAAACAAGAAAAAACAAAGCACAACACTGTTTTGGTTGACAGATTTCATGAGAAGCTGTATGACTGTGGACCATGGAGCTAAGCAGACAGCAACATAGCATTAGACACATCCTGCTCCCTAACACCCACAAAGAGAGACAGGAGAGAGAGACAGAAACAGAGAGACAGAGCGAGAGAAAGAGATATAAAGAGATGAAGCGAGTGATACATCAGGCTCCAGTGACCTCATCAAAGAGGGAGAGAAAGAGGGAGGGGGAAAAGAAGAGAGGGATGGAGAGAAAGTGACAAAAGAGGGGTATGTGTGGAGGAGGAGTAATAAAAGATCATTGAAGAGTGTCTCCATCTCATCGCTCTTTAAAGTAGGACCTGATCACATCCTCTTGAAATTCCGCTCTGGATTTGACACACCGATGCACAAACACTCACACAAATGCAAGTATTTCTGTGCACGCTTGTGCGCACACACACACACACACACACTGTATACATAGCGATACAAAGGAGAGACAAACTAGAGTGCATTCTGGAATCGTTAAGTAAGATAAACCCTTTGGGCTACACTCAATATCCCATCAACATCGACTTGCTTAAAGTGTGCAACAACCTCTTCAACAGTAACGATTATGTACAAAATATGGCATAATGTCTGATATCTTGAAAAGAACACAAACTACTATTTTCTCTTTTTTTATTTCATCCTACTAACGGATGATATTAAGGGGGCACATGTCCCTCAGTTTCAGTGGGTATGATGCCTCTGGAGGGCACTGTTATGTGAATATACTGTGTTGACAGATTCGGATTAGGTGGGAGAGCAATGCAGAAGTATTGAGTTGTGGTCAACCACCTCAGCTGCATTCTATAACCGTGATTCAAGATTTTCTTGACAACTAACACTAGAATCCAGCATTGTTGCTGTGATACAAGGAGAGAGAACCAACTCAGGGGGAGGTATGCTGTCAAAACAAGGGTGGTCATAGCAACCTTGTGATGACAGTTACCCGTCACCCGCGTGTCACTTCCCCTGTGTCCCCCTGCTCGGAGGAAAGCGGTGTGAGGTGCATAGCTAGAGCGTGGGGGTCACCGGATTATGCTCGCTGCTTGTTTGATTGACACAGCCTACTTTTCTGGCAGCTCACCAAGGACACTCGCGACAACAACAACAGGAACTTTGTCTGAGCTCTCGCCTCTCTCTACTACTGATGACTCATACCAGCTTATCCTTCCTCTCCTCCCTCTCTCTTGGTCTGGCTGACACCAGCTTTCGAAGTCCTCCAGACACCAGCTTTCGAAGTCCTCGAAGTGGGTCACAGCTCTTCGATGTGTAGTCATGTGGGTCGTATCAACCAGACTACCCCTCTCCTTGCCTCCCCTCGCTAACACAAAATGACCATACTGTTCTATATGGGAATAAGGGATGAGCATGGAAAATGGTGCATGATGAAATTGTGTTTTATAATTGAGGTGGGGTGACGGTATCAATGCTCAATAGCTTGTCATAGGGGCTGCCTGGGGAAGAAAAGGTTAAGACCCTTGATTTCAGAGGAGACTTCAGAGGAACCTTGATTTCAGAGAAGAAAGAAAACAGCGTGTGTGGAATGCAGCGCTTTTTATCATTGTATCCCATCGGACTGCCTATGCCGTGGTTGCTATGGTGACGGCTCGCCGCGATGAAGAGTCCTTGATCCCTGTGTGTGGAGTGTACACTCACGACTCCAATTCTGGGTGCTTGGCTAACTCGTCCTGGACCCTTGTCATCACCATCACACACTGGAGTGCCCTACTAAGTGCCCTATTAAGTACCCACTGTGTTATACAGGCAAGACACAAGAGGAGTCTCTGGCTGAAAAGTTAACATCTCCATTTCCACTGAGTAGCCATGGAGAGGCTTGACACGGAACTGTGGTTCTGTGTTGACACGGACTGCCTAGTAATTACTGACAATTACTGACACTGGATTTGGCCAGCTTACAGTAGGCCTATACAGTTTAACATGTTGTCAGTAATAACATGCTGTCAGTAATAACATGATGTCAGTAATAACATGGTGTCAGCAATAACATGTTGTCAGTAATAACATGCTGTCAGTAATAACATGCTGTCAGTAATAACATGCTGTCAGTAATAACATGCTGTCTGTAATAACATGCTGTCAGTAATAACATGCTGTCAGTGATAACATGATGTCAGTGATAACATAATGTCAGTGATAACATAATGTCAGTGATAATTATTATTATTAATTAATTAATATTATTAATTAATATGCCATTTAGCAGACGCTTTTATCCAAAGCGACTTACAGTCATGAGTGCATACATTTTTGTGGGTAACATGATAACATAATGTCAGTTATAACATGCTGTCAGTAATAACATGTTGTCAGTAATAACATGCTGTCAGTTATAACATGCTGTCAGTAATAACATGCTGTCAGTAATAACATGTTGTCAGTAATAACATGCTGTCAGTAATAACATGTTGTCAGTAATAACATGCTGTCAGTAATAACATGCTGTCAGTGATAACATGATGTCAGTAATAACATGTTGTCAGTAATAACATGTTATAGTGTAACAATGTTAGCTGCAGTGAGCTGCAGTTCCACTTAAAAGTTGTTAAGGTGGAAACCTTTTCTGCTGATTGGTATACTGTACACTAACCTTTAGTGTGTAAAGTCAGCAATGTGGAAGGGTGAGTCATTTTGTAGATTCCATAACATATATACTTTGAGCGTATGAATTGAACAACATCAACATCGATAACAACAACAACAACAACAAGAAAGGAAGTGAGTGATGACTCATCTGTTGAGCTCTGTTGGTTGGTATGTTGAGTCACTCCTAAAGGCCTCTTAATTGGACAGGGTTGGCAAATCAGTGACTAATGACTTATTTTTAGTGAGTTGCTTAAAGTCTGACGTTAGTGTCATGTTATCATAAAACCATAATCTTATCACGAAACATTAATTAGACCAGCAGTTGCATGTCTGGCTAACATTGACCTGGCAGCATAATTAGGCTGCCATCAATTAGCGCTGACTATGAATTATTGAGCCAGTGGGAAGTCTGTTCAAAGGCATCTACAGTAATTTGAAATGTAAAAGAGTTAGGGAGGCTGAACAGGGCTTAAAGAGATGTATGTATGATGTTCCAATTGGCAAATACTGTACAGTACATCTTCACTGTTGGGTTTAGTCTCATGCATCATAAATAATAATCTACACTGGGGCAGCAATATTTAACATCTGTCACTGGTAGACAAGCATCGCTTTGTATGTCATTTGATAGCAATATCTGACTCATGCAAATTACGTTTACATCCAATCTCAATGAAGGGACAGGTTCTAGGTACAGAGGTACCAAAGCCAGTGAGATAGACCAGAATGAACTGCTCTGAGAGCATTAGTGACACCATTGAGAGGCGGGGAGAGGCAGGGGGAGGGACTCTGACTATGATGAATGAGAATAGTCTGATACTGTCACGACTTCCTCCGAAGTTGCCTCCTCTCCTTGTTCGGGCAGGCTTCGGCGTTCGTCATCACCGGCCTTCCAGCCACTGCCGCTCCTCATCTCATCATTCCATTTGTTTTGTCTTATTTATTACACACATCTGGTTCATATCCCCTCATCAGTACCTGTATAAGTGTTCCCTCTGCCCCCTTGTCTTTGTGTGTGATTGTTTATTGTGGAGGTTAGTTTAGCTCGGTGGAGCTCCTGGTATTTTGTATCGCCGGGATATTTCCCTGTGTGCCTAGTTGTTTCCCAGTGCGCCTGATTTACACACTGGCGTGATTGACACATTGCTGCGTACCACTGTGTTTTCGGAATAAACCCTTTTATTCTGTAATTTACCCTCCTGCGCCTGACTCCTTCAAATCACTCACCACAGAATCACACACCAAGACATGGAGTCAGCAGGAGAAGAGCACATGCCTGGAGTCGTGGCACAGGTCCGGGAGCATTCTACGATGTTAGCCAGCATGGGAGAAGCGATGGATCGGGTTCTCCAGGTCGTCCAACGCCTGGAGAGAAGAGGACCCGACCCGTCGAGACCAGCTGAGCGACCGGATCCAGCCACCCACACCCCAGCACCCAGACAGATTAATCTATCCCGACCGAGGGATTATGACAGGACAGCTGCCCGCTGCCAGGGATTCCTCCTGCAGCTGGACCTCTACTTCTTTACCATCAGCCCGGCTCCATCGGAGCCTCTCGGGGAAAGCCCTGGAGTGGGCCAACGCGGTCTGGAGTGAAGGAGGAGCCGTGTTGGACAACTACGGGGAGTTCGCTCACCTCTTCCGGGCAGTCTTCGATAACCCGCCCGAAGGAAGAGAGGCGGGCGAGCGGCTGGTCCAACTGAGGCAGGGGACGAGGACCGCGCAGGCCTTTGCCCTGGAGTTTCGTACTCTAGCGGCTGGGACCGGGTGGAACGAGCGGGCCCTCATACAGTGAGGGAAAAAAGTATTTGATCCCCTGCTGATTTTGTGCGTTTGCCCACTGACAAAGAAATTATCAGTCTATAATTTTAATGGTAGGTTTATTTGAACAGTGAGAGACAGAATAACAACCAAAAAATCCAGAAAAACGCATGTCAAAAATGTTATAAATTGATTTGAATTTTAATGAGGGAAATAAGTATTTGACCCCCTCTCAATCAGAAATATTTCTGGCTCCCAGGTGTCTTTTATACAGGTAACAAGCTGAGATTAGGAGCACACTCTTGAAGGGAGTGCTCCTAATCTCAGTTTGTTACCTGTATAACAGACACCTGTCCACAGAAGCAATCAATCAATCAGATTCCAAACTCTCCACCATGACCAAGACCAAAGAGCTCTCCAAGGATGTCAGGGACAAGATTGTAGACCTACACAAGGCTGGAATGGGCTACAAGACCATCGCCAAGCAGCTTGGTGAGAAGGTGACAACAGTTGGTGCGATTATTCGCAAATGGAAGAAACACAAAAGAACTGTCAATCTGCCTCGGCCTGGGGCTCCATGCAAGATCTCATCTCGTGGAGTTGTAATGATCATGAGAACGGTGAGGAATCAGCCCAGAACTACACGGGAGGATCTTGTCAATGATCTCAAGGCAGCTGGGACCATAGTCACCAAGAAAACAATTGGTAACACACTACGCCGTGAAGAACTGAAATCCTGCAGCGCCCGCAAGGTCCCCCTGCTCAAGAAAGCACATATACAGGCCCGTCTGAAGTTCACCAATGAACATCTGAATGATTCAGAGGAGAACTGGGTGAAAGTGTTGTGTTCAGATGAGACCAAAATGGAGCTCTTTGGCATCAACTCAACTCGCCGTGTTTGGAGGAGGAGGAATGCTGCCTATGACCCCAATAACACCATCCCCACCATCAAACATGGAGGTGGAAACATTATGCTTTGGGGGTGTTTTTCTGCTAAGGGGACAGGACAACTTCACCGCATCAAAGGGACGATGGACGGGGCCATGTACCGTCAAATCTTGGGTGAGAACCTCCTTCCCTCAGCCAGGGCATTGAAAATGGGTCGTGGATGGGTATTCCAGCATGACAATGACCTAAAACACACGGCCAAGGCAACAAAGGAGTGGCTCAAGAAGAAGCACATTAAGGTCCTGGAGTGGCCTAGCCAGTCTCCAGACCTTAATCCCATAGAAAATCTGTGGAGGGAGCTGAAGGTTTGAGTTGCCAAACGTCAGCCTCGAAACCTTAATGACTTGGAGAAGATCTGCAAAGAGAAGTGGGACAAAATCCCTCCTGAGATGTGTGCAAACCTGGTGGCCAACTACAAGAAACGTCTGACCTCTGTGATTGCCAACAAGGGTTTTGCCACCAAGTACTAAGTCATGTTTTGCAGATGGGTAAAATACTTATTTCCCTCATTAAAATGCAAATCAATTTATAACATTTTTGACATGCGTTCTTCTGGATGTTTTTGTTGTTATTCTGTCTCTCACTGTTCAAATAAACCTACCATTAAAATTATAGACTGATCATGTCTTTGTCAGTGGGCAAACGTACAAAATCAGCAGGGGATCAAATACATTTTTCCCTCACTGTAGACAGCTTCCGGTGCAGCCTGCGAGAGGACGTCCGAAGGGAGCTAGCCTGCCGGGATACCATGTTGACTTTCGACCAGCTGGTGGACATGGCCATCCGGTTGGACAACCTGCTAGCTGCAAGAGGACATCCTGGAAGTGGCCTGCCCGTTTCACCCCCCCGCAACCCGGATTCAGTTCCGATGGAGCTGGGTGGTGCAGCGATCTGGGAGAATACAGGACGACAGCTCCAGTGTTCTGTTTCCCAGTGCACCTGATTTACGCATTGGAGTGTTTGACGCATTGCTGCGTACCGCTGTGTTTTCAGAATAAACCCTTTTATTCTATGATTTACCCTCCTGCGCCTGACTCCTTCAAATCACTCACCACAGATACAGACGATGGAAGATCATTGCATGGGGGATGAACTTGATGGGGAGAGGGGACACTGGGTATAGAACCCAACTAGAAGTGCAGACAGGACTGGATCCCTAATGATGGAGAGAGAAGACAGAGCGGAATAGAAAAATTGAGGGAGGGGGTAGGGGGAGGGGGAGCGAGACACAAAGCGGGAGAGAGAGAGGGAGCGAGAGAGAGAACCAAAGGAGTGAAAGAGAAACAAACATAGACTGGGAGATAAAACACACAACAACACCATCAATCTCATCCTGGCGACATCCCCAACCTATCCTTGAACATTGTCCACTCGCTCGTTGTCTGTCTGTGCTTCAAGTGTTTCTCGGGTTGAAAAGCTGAAACTGTGATGCAACTGTGATGCAACAGGGCTTTATTTTGGCTCCATGGTAGGGCCCCTGAGGGCCCGGCCTACATGATGGAGCAGGTGAAGCCACAGCACTCCTTCAGCAGGGACAGGCCGGTTTTGGTGAAGGGGGACGAGGTCTGCTGGGCCCTGGATGTTAGCCGTCTGGCTGGAACCTGACCTGGGGAAGAGGAGGTGGAGTCAGTCAGAGGATATGGGGATATACCAGGTGGAGCACTGGTGATGCTGTAGTAGATCAGAAATAATGACATAATGACACACACATTCAGACTCACACACATGCATGCACACACACGCCTTCAGATGATATGATATGAGCAGAATACAAGCTGATGAAAATACATTTTGCTCAGTGGGGAGCCAGTGCAAAATTGCATACATTTTTGGGGGTGAAATCCATAATTTCAAATATAAATGCTTCAGTAGGGAAGAAAGAATTTAACAAGAAAGAGGCGCCAAACTATCCAAAGAAATCGTCATCAAATCAAGGTCACTGACTATTATCAAAGCGAATACTTAAACGTTGAGACATACGATTGAGCATTTGAATGGAAAATAATAACACTCACTATGACGCACTATGACTACACGCACCTTTCTTCTTCAAGTTTTTGGGGAACTTGGACTGGAGGAAATCAGCCATTTCTTTGTCTTCCTCCCTTTCCCTGTAGAGGAGGAGAGAAAGTGGGATGAGTGGAACTTTAAATGTTACATTTCTGTCTGTTCCAGCAAGCGATGACTCAGACTCCATATCCTCAGGCCCTGTCTTCTCCCTGGGTGTCTTCACATGCCTCAAAAACAATCAATTATTCCCTCGTCACTTCCTGCTTCTCAACACCCAGAATGGGTGCACATCTGTTTTCTGTGTATTTTAGTGTAGGGGACAATGTGCTGCGAAACCCTGCATCCCACTGTACATGCACAAGTTTGTTAGGGTAAACGAGTTTGTTAGGGTAAATACGTTTGTTACGCCCCCCCCCCCCCCCCCCCTTCTCAGAACGGAGGGGGAGGGCGTAACAAACGTATTTACCCTAACAAACTCGTTTACCCTAACAAACTTGTGCATGTACAGTGGGATGCAGGGTTTCGCAGCACATTGTCCCCTACACTAAAATACACAGAAAACAGATGTTTTATTCCAACAGTAAGAACATCTGAGAATGTAGATGTTCCCTGTGGTTTGTATTTAACTGAGTCGAAGGCTTGTATTTCTGACAGGATGTAATTGGCGACCAAACCAATAAGGGAGGGGGTCAAGACAGATGGAACAGAGTTGTGTAACAGAGGTGGTTCAGAACCACGTTGCCGTGATGAGTAACCTGGTCTGAGACCTGATGACTTACTGTACGTTGGCACCCCAAGGTAATGCCTAGACTTTAGCTCAGAGGGCTAACAGTGTTCTGGTGGGCATGAGACCTGGTTTCGAACCTCAGTCGATCACACTTGCCTTAGCCTCTCAAACTCCACGTCGTCAACAAGGAAATCTCTGGTCTCTACCAGCTTGTGGATCTGCTGGAGAAGTTCTTCCTCTTTCTGTCTGTCCTCGTTGGACTTGTCATTGTCTGTAACAGAAAATATGTTATGACGATCAGGGGTTAAAGTGAGATTTTGTCAGTGGTGGATTTCAAACTGCTGCCACATTCAGGGTCTTTTTCATGATGATTTGACCAATAAAATCGGGCATTTATTTGATCTCTAGACCCCTAACGTTAACCCCTAACCCATCTTATGGTGATAGGAGCTTGTTCTCCCACCAATTTAACCAACCACTGTTGACAATGGATATATACATATATACACAGATATATATAGAGTTGAAGTCGGAAGTTAACATAAACTTAGGTTGGAGTCATTAAAACTTGTTTTTCAAACACTCCACAAATGTCTTGTTAACAAATGATAGTTTTGGCAAGTCGGTTAGGACATCTACTTTGTGCATGACACAATTAATTTCTCCAACAACTGTTTACAGACAGATTATTTCACTTATAATTCACTGTATCACAATTCCAGTTGGTCGGAAGTTTACATACACTAAGTTGACTGTGCCTTTAAACAGCTTGGAAAATTCCAGAAAATGATGTCATGGCTTTAGAAGCTTCTGATAGGCTAATTGACATGATTTGAGTCAATTGGAGGTGTACCTGTGGATGTATTTCAAGGCCTACCTTCAAACTCAGTGCCTCTTTGCTTGACATCATGCGAAAATCAAAAGAAATCAGCCAAGACCTCAGAAAAAAAATTGTAGACCTCCACAAGTCTGGTTCATTGTTGGGAGCAATTTCCAAACGCCTGAAGGTACCACGTTCATCTGTACAAACAATAGTACGCAAGTATAAACACCATGGGACCATGCAGCCGGCATACCGCTCAGGAAGGAGACGCATTCTGTCTCCTAGAGATGAATGTACTTTGGTGCGAAAAGTGCAAATCAATCCCAGAACAACAACAAAGGAACTTGTGAAGATGCTGGAGGAAACAGGTACAAAAGTATCTATATCCACAGTAAAACGAGTCCTATATTGACATAACCTGAAAGGCCGCTCAGCAAGGAAGAAGCTACTGCTCCAAAACTGCCATAAAAAAGCCAGACTACGGTTTGCAACTGTACATGGGGACAAAGATCGTACTTTTTGGAGAAATGTCCTCTGGTCTGATGAAACAAAAATAGAACTGTTTGTCCATAATGACCATCGTTATGTTTGGAGGAAAAAGGGTAGGCTTGCAAGCCAAAGAACACCATCCAAACCGTGAAGCACGGGTGTGGCAGCATCATGCTTTAGGGGTGCTTTGCTGCAGGAGGGACTGGTGCACTTCACAAAATAGATGGCATCATGAGGAAGGATAATTATGTGGATATATTGATGTAACATCTCAAGACATAAGTCAGGAAGTTAAAGCTTGGTCGCAAATGGGTCTTCCAAATAAACCATGACCCCAAGCATACTTCCAAAGTTGTGGCAAAATGGCTTAAGGACAACAAAGTCAAGGTATTGGAGTGGCCATCACAAAGCCCTGACCTCAATCCTATAGAAAATGTGTGGGCAGAACTGAAAAAACATGTGCGAGCAAGGAGGCCTACAAACCTGACTCAGTTACACCAGCTCTGTCAGGAGGAATGGGCCAAAATTCACCCAACTTATTGTGGGAAGCTTGTGGAAGGCTACCCGAAACGTTTGACCCAAGTTCAACAATTTAAAGGCAATGCTACCAAATACTAATTGAGTGTATGTAAACATCTGACCCACTGGGAATGTGATGAAATAAATAAAAGCTGAAATAAATCATTCTCTCTACTATTATTCTGACATGTCACATTCTTAAAATAAAGTGGTGATCCTAACTGACCTAAGACAGGGAATTTTTACTAGGATTAAATGTCAGGAATTGTGAAAACTGAGTTTAAATGTATTTGGCTAAGGTGTATGTAAACTTCCGACTTCAACTGTATATATAAAGTGTGGGAAAAAGGTATTTGATCCCCTGCTGATTTTGTACGTTTGCCCACTGACAAAGAAATGATCAGTCTATAATTTTAATGGTAGGTTTATTTGAACAGTGAGAGACAGAATAACAACAAAAAAATCCAGAAAAACGAATGTCAAAAATGTTATAAATTGATTTGCATTTTAATGAGGGAAATAAGTATTTGACCCCTCTGCAAAACATGACTTAGTACTTGGTGGCAAAACCCTTGTTGACAATCACAGAGGTCAGACATTTCTTGTAGTTGGCCACCAGGTTTGCACACATCTCAGGAGGGATTTTGTTCCACTCCTCTTTGCAGATCTTCTCCAAGTCATTAAGGTTTCGAGGCTGACGTTTGGCAACTCGAACCTTCAGCTCCCTCCACAGATTTTCTATGGGATTAAGGTCTGGAGACTGGCTTTTTTTTTTTTACCCAGGAAATATCACATTTACATTAGTATTCAGATCCTTTACTCAGTACTTTGTTGAAGCACCTTTGGCAGCAATTACAGTCTCAAGTCTTCTTGTGTATGACACTACAAGCTTGGCACACCTGTATTTGGGGAGACTCTCCCATTCTTCTCTGCAGATCCTCTCAAGCTCTGTCAGGTTGGATGGGGAACGTCTCTGCACAGTAATTTTCAGGTCTCTCTAGAGATGTTCGGTTAGGTTCAAGTCTGGGCTCTGGCTGGGCCACTCAAGGACATTCAGAGACTTGTCCCGAAGCCACTCCTGCATTGTCTTGGCTGTGTGCTTAGGATTGTTGTCCTGTTGGAAGGTAAACCTTCACCCCAGTCTGAGGGCCTGAGAGCTCTGGAGCAGGTTTTCAGCAAGGATCTCTCTGTACTTTGCTCCGTTCATCTTTCCCTCAATCCTGACTAGTCTTCCAGTCCCTGCCGCTGAAAAACATCCCCACAGCATGATGCTGCCACCACCATGCTTCACCGTAGGGATGGTGCCAGGTTTCCTCCAGACGTGACAGTTGGCATTCAGGCCAAAGAGTTCAATCTTGGTTTCATAAGACCAGAGAATCTTGTTTCTCATGGTCTGAGAGTCCTTTAGGTGCCTTTTGGCAAACTCCAAGCCAGCTGTCATGTTCCTTTTACTGAGGAGTTGCTTCCATCTGGCCACTCTACCATAAAAGCCTGATTGGTGAAGTGCTGCAGAGATGTTTGTCACCCTGGAAGGTTCTCCCATCTCCACAGAGGAACTCAGCAGCTCTGTCAGAGTGACCATCGGGTTCTTGGTCACCTCCCTGACCAAGGTCCTTCTCCCCCGATTGCTCAGTTTGGCCGTGCGGCCAGCTCTAGGAAGAGTCTTGGGCGGTTCCAAACTTCTTCCATTTAAGAATGATGGAGGCCACTGTATTCTTGGGGACCTTCAATGCTGCAGAAATGTTTTGGTACCCTTCCCCAGATCTGTGCCTCAACACAATCCTGTCTTGGAGCTCTACGGACAATTCCTTCGACCTCATGGCTTGATTTTTGCTCTGACATGCACTGTCAACTGTGGGACCTTATATAGACAGATGTTTGCCTTATCAAATCATGTCCAATCAATTGAATTTACCACAGGTGGACTCCAATCAAGTTGTAGAAACATCTCAAGGTTGATCAATGGAAACAGGATGTACCTGAGCTCAATTTTGAGTCTCATAGCAAAGGGTCTGAATACTTATGTAAATAAGGTATTTCTAAAAACCTGTTTTCGCTTTGTCATTATGGGGTATTGTGTGTAGATTGATGAGGGAAAAATTTAGTTTAATCCATTTTAGAATAAGGCTGTAACGTAACAAAATGTGGAAAAGGGGAAGGGGTCTGAATACTTTCTGAATGTACTGTATATAGCTGATGTCTGTGTTACTGTAGCCTGCACATCTTCCTTTTTTTTTACATCTGTCCCAAATCCTGTTGTGCCTGTGTGGCTCAGTTGGTAGAGCATGGTGCTTGCAATGGCAGGGTTGTGGGTTCGATTCCCATGGGGGACCAGGGCCCAGATTCACAAAACACTTCTTACTCCAAAACTTAAGAAGCCTCTTAAGAAAAAAAATAAGAAGCTCATCCAATAGTTTGTAAGTGCAATTCTTCAACAATATCTTAAGATTGAATGATTTTCTTAAGAACTTCTCCAATTTCTTCTTACTAATTTCATAACTATCTTGTTAAGATGTTTGTTGCTAGTCAACCGATTTAGCTAGCTATCTAGCTAACAATGGTAATCATGTTAGCATATTTCATCTGAGATTACTGTTCTAAAACATATTCTTGGTTTTAAAATAATCAATTCTGAAACTTTCAGATTAAGTTTGTGAGTGAATTAAACATGTTCAATTGCTTTCATGAGCGTATTCTCTCACTGCCCTGAGTTTAAGACAAGGGTTTAGCTACCTTGGTATTAAGAACATTTCCAAGAACAAATCCAATAACTTTATTTTCAATAATCACATTTCTTCTTAACCTTTTGCTTAAAGAGAAACAAATAATGCAATAACATTTCCAATAACCTTTTTCAGGAATAGCAACTTTGCTTAACTCTCTTTATAAGTCTATAGATAAGGAAGAAATGGCAGTTAAAAAGACATTTCTTCTTATGAAAGTTTTGTGAATCTGGGCCCAGTATGGAGAACAAAATGTATGAAATGAATGCACTCCCTACTGTAAGAGCGCCTGCTAAATTACATAAATGTAGAAATGTAACCCAGCAACATTCATTTTGCTGTAAAATTCTATTTGCTTCCATTTCGTTTCAACATGTTTGTGTTTTCTTGGCAAGTTATTTACATTATGTGTCAATCCTAAGTACATCTGTGCTCCCATTTGCCCATGTTTCTTGGAGATCCTTTGAATGGTAACGTTTTGTGATACTCTCAACTCATTATGTGGTATTAGCACATTCATAACTTTTACTAAGGTGTCTGTGCACACTCTATTCAGGCATATGGTTATGACAACCATCATTCTATTCAATGTAATAATGTGACACAGAGATTAGTAAATTACATTACACCCTGTTATAACATCTGGTATGTATACTCTTATGTAGCATGTAATAACATATGACATAAGTTGTCATGCAGACTGTATAATAATAGTTGTTTTTAACCGTTGACAGAGCATATGACAACAGGATGCAAAGTCATTTTTAAAACCAATTATAACCAGTTTTATAACATCTCATGCCGTGACTCATAACTAATTACAATTACTTTTGACAGCTTATGACAAATGTTATAAAGGCTTTGTGAATGCATGTGTAAGGACACCTACAGTAAAGTGTTACCAAATAATTATTAAGTGAGGTCAGTAGTCCCTTCACCATGCACAAAATGTAATAGCTGTATAATTTGTACACAATTATACATATTATGCTTCAGAAGAGCAGTCCTGTGAAGTGATACTGTATACATTATCATAACAGAAGAGATCAAACCACCCTTTAAACAATTGTTCCCTATTAAAATGGAATACTCTACTGAAATATATCCACTGTCAACAGGGCTTAAATCGGTGGTAGAACAAACTCAATATATGACAACAGGATGATCAGTCATTTTTAAAACCAATTAATGCTGATAATGGGCCTCTGTACGCCTATGTAGATATTCCATAGAAAATAAGCAGTTTCCAGCTACAATAGCCATTTACAACATTTACAATGTCTACACTGTATTTCTGATCAATTTGATGTGATTTTAATGGACAAGAAAATTGCTTTTCTTTCGAAAACAAGGATATTTCTAAGTGACCCCAAACTTTTGAACGGTAGTGTACACCTGTTCTGAAAGGCCCGAGAGTCTGCAACACCATTAAGCAAGGGGCACCACCAAGCAAGCGGCACCATGAAGACCAAGGAGCTCTCCAAACAGGTCAGGGACAAAGTTGTGGAGAAGTACAGATCAGGGTTGGGTTATTTAAAAAAATCAGAAACTTTGAACATCCCACGGAGCACCATTAAATCCATTATAATGGAAATGGAAAGAATATGGCACCACAACAAACCTGCCAAGAGAGGGCCGCCCACCAAATCTCACGGCCCAGGCAAGGAGGGCACTAATCAGAGAGGCAACAAAGAGACTAAAGATAAACCTGAAGGAGCTGCAAAGCTCCACAGCAGAGATTGGAGTATCTGTCCATAGGACTCTACAAAGTATTGACTTTGGGGGGGTGAATAGCTATGCTCGCTCAAGTTCTGTTTTTTTTGTCTTATTTCTTGTTTGTTTCACAAGAAAAAATATTTTGCATCTTCAAAGTGGTAGGCATGTTGTGTAAATCAAATGATACAAACCCCCAAAAATCAATTTTAATTCCAGGTTGTAAGGCAACAAAATAGTAAAAATGCCAAGGGGGGTGAATACTTTCGCAAGCCACTGTATACCACACCCCCTCTGGCCTTAATACAGCTGTTATAAGGCTTTATGAATGCATGGATAAGGACACCTACAGTAAAATGTTACCAATTATTTTACAGCACTTACAACCCATGAAAAATCTGAAATCAGAAAATCCACAACAATTTACACATATCACAGGATACAAAGACAATGTCTGTTTCATTAAGCACAAATTAATTTACCCTGCGTGAGAAAGGCCCCACATGGCCCCAGCAGCAGAGTATGAAAGATAGGTATCATTTCTCGAGAAGTGTTTATGCTTATGACATAACGCCACTTCCTGGTTCTGTGTGTACTCTGAATCTGTAGAGGGTGTGGTGTTGGACAGAGGTCAGGAAGAGATTGTCTGTCCAATCAGAGGCAATGTTTATTGCCATTGATGGCAAGTTTTACAGTATGTCTGGAATGTAACCCTCTACAATCCATTGTACCTTAGTCTGCAGTTCAAGACCTCTCAGTAGTGGACCTCTCCATCCAAAACACTATTCTCATACTCATTAACCTAACTAAAGCGAAGAAAACAATATACAAAAATAAAAATAATAATAATATATAAATAATAGTTGGGCACACAACGTAAACATGGATTATACCTGGTAACGACACCAGCTTCTGGAGCTCCTTCTTGAGTCGAGTGATTTCCTTACACAGCTGAATGTCATCCATCCTAAAGACAAACATTTCATTATTTAAAAACCCTGCATTATTCAGAATGATTCAGCAAATGGTCCAATCTAAGTTTACATGTCATTTTTTAAAAATGTTTAGTCATTTAGCAGACACTCTAATCCAGAGCGATTTACAGTAGTGAGTGTATACATTTTTGATACCGGTAACCCAGTATCACAGCATCACAGTTGGGTAGCTGAGCCTACAGACATCCATCACTGTCAGCTAACTGAGAGCCTCAACTCTCTACCTGTCATTGTACTCTACCAATACCATTACTGCCTCAGAGCAGCCAGCCTCACATCTCTCACACACCCTATCTGATGTTATTTAATGTTAATGGTAGAAAGTCCCTAGACATTAGCTACAGATGTAGAATAACATGATGATGTTTTAGAAAGGCTCTCTGTGTCCAACCCGGTCTCATGTCCCCCTCCCCATCTGACCAACATGCACATGGTTCCTCTCTCAATTAAATTCAAATAATCTCTCTCTCTCTCTCTCTCTCTCTACCCACCCCTTAGTGAGTGCATACATTTTCATACTGGCCTCCCTTCTATTCTATTGACCAGATTGCATAGCGGAGAAGGTACGGTGGGATTCGAAATGGTCGGTGATCTGTTTGTTAACTTGGCTTTCAAATACTTTCGAAAGGCAGGGCAGGATGGATATAGGTCTGTAACAGTTTGGATCTAGAGTGTCACCCCCTTTGAAGAGGGGGATGACCGCGGCAGATTTCCAATCTCTGGGGATCTCAGACGATACGAAAGAGAATACAACAATATAACATCTATAGAAGAGACAGGAATGCTTATGGGGAGGTGTTGTTATATATATATACAGTTGAAGTGGGAAGTTTACATACACTTAGGTTGGAGTCATTCAAACTCGTTTTTCAACCACTCCACAAATTTCTTCTTAACAAACTATAGTTTTGGCAAGTTGGTTAGGACATCTACTTTGTTTATGACACAAGTAATTTTTCCAACAATTGTTTACAGACAGATTATTTCACTTACAATTCACTGTATCACAATTCCAGTGGGTCAGAAGTTTACATACACTAAGTTGACTGTGCCTTTAAACAGCTTGGAAAATTCCAGAAAATTATGTCATGGCTTTAGAAGCTTCTGATAGGCTAATTGACATCATTTGAGTCAGTTGGAGGTGTACCTGTGGATGTATTTCAAGGCCTACCTTCAAACTCAGTGCCTCTTTGCTTTACATCAAGGGAAAATCAAAAGAAATCAGCCAAGACCTCAGAAAAGAAATTGTAGACCTCCACAAGTCTGGTTCATCCTTGGGAGCAATTTCCAAACACCTGAAGGTACCACGTTCATCGGTACAAACAATAATACGCAAGTATAAACACCATGGGACCACGCAGCCGTCATACCGCTCAGGAAGGAGACGCATTCTGTCTCCTAGAGATGAACGTTCTTTGGTGCGAAAAGTGCAAATCAATCCCAGAACAAAAGCAAAGGACCTTGTGAAGATGCTGGAGGAAACAGGTACAAAAGTATCTATATCCACAGTAAAACGAGTCCTATATCGACATAACATGAAAGGCCGCTCAGCAAGGAAGAAGCCACTGCTCCAAAACCGCTATAAAAAGCCAGACTACGGTTTGCAACTGCACATTGGGACTTTTTGGAGAAATGTCCTCTGGTCTGATGAAACAAAAATAGAACTGTTTGGCCATAATGACCATCGTTATGTTTGGAAGAAACAGGGCAAGGCTTGCAAGGCGAAGAACACCATCCCAACCGTGAAGCACGGGGGTGGCAGCATCATGCTGTGAGGGTGCTTTGCTGCAGGAGGGACTGGTGCACTTCACAAAATACAGTGGGGAAAAAAAGTATTTAGTCAGCCACCAATTGTGCAAGTTCTCCCACTTAAATGTTTTTTCATCATAGGTACACGTCAACTATGACAGACAAAATGAGAAAAAAAAATCAAGAAAATCACATTGTAGGATTTTTTATGAATTTATTTGCAAATTATGGTGGAAAATAAGTATTTGGTCAATAACTAAAGTTTTTCAATACTTTGTTATATACCCTTTGTTGGCAATGACACAGGTCAAACGTTTTCTGTAAGTCTTCACAAGGTTTTCACACACTGTTGCTGGTATTTTGGCCCATTCCTCCATGCAGATCTCCTCTAGATCAGTGATGTTTTGGGGCTGTCGCTGGGCAACACGGACTTTCAACTCCCTCCAAAGATGTTCTATGGGGTTGAGATTTGGAGACTGGCTAGGCCACTCCAGGACCTTGAAATGCTTCTTACGAAGCCACTCCTTCGTTGCCCGGGCGGTGTGTTTGGGATCATTGTCATGCTGAAAGACCCAGCCACGTTTCATCTTCAATGCCCCCACTAAAAATCTCACGATACATGGCCCCATTCATTATTTCCTTTACACGGATCAGTCGTCCTGGTCCCTTTGCAGAAAAACAGCCCCAAAGCATGATGTTTCCACCCCCATGCTTCACAGTAGGTATGGTGTTCTTTGGATGCAACTCAGCATTCTTTGTCCTCCAAACACGACGAGTTGAGTTTTTACCAAAAAGTTCTATTTTGGTTTCATCTGACCATATGACATTCTCCCAATCCTCTTCTGGATCATCCACATGCACTCTAGCAAACTTCAGACGGGCCTGGACATGTACTGGCTTAAGCAGGGATTTGAGTCCCTGGCAGCGTAGTGTGTTACTGATGGTAGGCTTTGTTACTTTGGTCCCAGCTCTCTGCAGGTCATTCACTAGGTCCCCCCTTGTGGTTCTGGGATTTTTGCTCACTGTTCTTGTGATCATTTTGAACCCACGGGGTGAGATCTTGCGTGGAGCCCCAGATCGAGGGAGATTATCAGTGGTCTTGTATGTCTTCCATTTCCTAATAATTGCTCCCACAGTTGATTTCTTCAAACCAAGCTGCTTACCTATTGCAGATTCAGTCTTCCCAGCCTGGTGCAGGTCTACAATTTTGGTTCTGGTGTCCTTTGACAGCTCTTTGGTTTTGGCCATAGTGGAGTTTGGAGTGTGACTGTTTGAGGTTGTGGACAGGTGTCTTTTATACTGATAACAAGTTCAAACAGGTGCCATTAATACAGGTAACGAGTGGAGGACAGAGGAGCCTCTTAAAGAAGAAGTTACAGGTCTGTGAGAGCCAGAAATCTTGCTTGTTTGTAGGTGACCAAATACTTATTTTCCACCATAATTTGCAAATAAATTCATTAAAAATCCTACAATGTGATTTTCTGGAATTTTATTTCTCAATTTGTCTGTCATAGTTGACGTGTACCTATGATGAAAATTACAGGCCTCTCTCATCTTTTTAAGTGGGAGAACTTGCACAATTGGAGGCTGACTAAATACTTTTTTTCCCCACTGTAGATGGCATCATGAGGAAGGAAAAGTATGTAGATATATTGAAAAAACATCTCAAGACATCAGGCAGGAAGTTAAAGCTTGGTCGCAAATGGGTCTCCCAAATGGACAATGACCCCAAGTATACTTCCAAAGTTGTGGCAAAATGGCTTAAGAACAACAAAGTCTAGGTATTGGAGTGGCCATCACAAAGCCCTGACCTCAATCCTATAGAACATTTGTGGGCAGAACTGAAAAAGCGTGTGCAAGCAAGGAGGCCTACAAACCTGACTCAGTTACACCAGCTCTGTCAGGAGGAATGGGCCAAAATTCACCCAACTTATTGTGGGAAGCTTGTGGAAGGCTACCCGAAACATTTGCCCCAAGTTAAACAATTTAAAGGCAATGCTACCAAATACTAATTGAGTGTATGTAAACTTCTGACCCATTGGGAATGTGATGAAATAAATAAAAGCTGAAATAAATCATTCTCTCTACTTTTATTCTGACATTTCACATTCTTAAAATAAAGTGGTGATCCTAACTGACCTAAGACAGGGAATTTTTACTAGGATTAAATGTCAGGAATTGTGATAAACTGAGTTTAAATGTATTTGGCTAAGGTGTATGTAAACTTCCGATTTCAACTGTATATACACACACACTATCAGTCAAAAGTTTGGACACACCTACTCATTCAAGGGTTTTTCTTTATTTTCACTATTTTACATTGTAGAATAATAGTGAAGTCATCAAAACTATGAAATAACACATATGGAATCATGTAGTAGCCAAAAAAGTTTTAAACAAATCAAAATATATTTTATATTTGAGATTCTTCAAATAGCCACCCTTTGCCTTGATGACAGCTTTGCACACTCTCAACTAGCTTCAGAAGAAGAGACCTGCTTGGGCCAAGAAACACGAGCAATGGACATTAGACTGGCGGAAATGTGTCCTTTGGTCTGGAGTCCAAATGTGAGATTTTTGGTTCCAACCATCGTGGCTTTGTGAGACGCGGTGTGGGTGAACGGATGATCTCCGCATGTGTATTTCCCACCGTAAAGCATGGAGGAGGAGGTGTTATGGTGTGGGGGTGCTTTGCTGGTGACACTGTCTGTGATTTATTTAGAATTCAAGGCACACTTAACCAGCATGGCTACTACAGCATTCTGCAGCGATACGCCATCCCATCTGGATTGGGTTTAGTGGGATTATCATTTGTTTTTCAACAGGACAATGACCCAACACACCTCCAGGCTGTGTAAGGGCTATTTTACCAAGAAGGAGAGTGATGGATTGCTGCATCAGATGACCTGGCCTCCATAATCCCCCGACCTCAACCCAATTGAGATGGTTTGGGATGAGTCGGATGGCAGAGTGAAGGAAAAGCAGCCAACAAGTGCTAAGCATATGTGGGAACTCCTTCAAGAATGTTGGAAAAACATCCCAGGTGAAGCTGGTTGAGAGAATGCCAAGAGTGTGCAAAGCAGTCATCAAGGCAAAGGGTGTCTATTTGAAGAATAGAAAATAGAAAAAATATTTTGATTTGTTTAACACTTTTTGGGTTACTACATGATTCCATATGTGTTATTTCATAGTTTTGATGTCTTCACTATTATTCTACAATGTAGAAAATAGTGGAAATAATTAAAAACCCTTGAATGAGTAGGTGTGTCCAAACTTTTGACTGGTACTGTATATATATACATACAGTATGCAGTGCATTCAGAAAGTATTCAGACCCCTTGACTTTTTCCTAATTTTGTTACGTTACAGCCTTATTCTAAAATGTATTACATCTTTTTTTTCCCTCATCAGTCTAGACACAATACCCCATAATGACAAAGCAAAAAATGGGTTTCAGTATTGTTTGCAAATGTATTAAAAAATAATAAACTGAAATATCACATTTACATTAGTTTTCTGACCCTTTACTCAATACTTTGTTAAAGCACATTTGGCAGCGATTACAGCCTTGAGTCTTCTTGGTTATGATGCTACAAGCTTGGCACACCTGTATTTGGGGAGTTTCTCTATTCTTCTCTGCAGATCCTCTCAAGCTCTGTCAGGTTGGATGGGGAGCGTCGCTGCACAGCTATTTTCAGGTCTCTCCAGAGATGTTTGATCGGGTTCAAGTCCGGGCTCTGGCTGGGCCACTCAAGGACATTCAGAGACTTGTCCCGCTGTGTGCTTAGGGTCGCTGTCATGTTGGAAGGTGAAACTTCGGTCCAGAGCGCTCTGGAGCAGGTTTTCATCAAGGATCTCTCTGTACTTTGCTCTGTTCATCTTTCCTTCATCCCTGCTGCTGAAAAAACATCCCCACAGCATGATGCTGCCACCACCATGTTTCACCGTAGGGATGGTGCCAGGTTTCCTCCAGACGTGACGCTTGGCATTCAGGCCAAAGAGTTCAATCTTGGTTTCATCAGACCAGAGAATCTTGTTTCTCATGGTCTGAGAGTCTTCATGTGCCTTTTGGCAAACTCCAAGCGGGCTGTCATGTGCATTTTACTGAAGAACTCTGGAGGTCTTTCAGAGTGACCATCGGGTTCTTGGTCACCTCCCTGACCAAGGCCCCTCTCTCGCGATTTCTCATTTTGGCCGGGTGGCCAGCTCTAGTAAGAGTCTTGGTGGTTCCAAACTTCTTCCATTTAAGAATGATGGAGGCCACTGTGTTCTTAGAGAACGTCAATGCTGCAGACATTTTTTGGTACTTTTCCTCAAATCTGTGCCTCGACACAATCTTATCTCGGAGCTCTACGAACAATTCCTTTGACCTCATGGCTTGGTTTTTGCTCTGACATGCACTGTCAACTGTGGGACCTTAAATAGACAGGTGTGTGCCTTTCCAAATCATGTCCAATTACCACAGGTGGACTCCAATCAAGTTGTAGAAACAGCTCAAGGATGATCAATGGAAACAGGATGCACCTGAGCTTAATTTTGAGTCTCATAGCAAAGGGTCTGAATACTTATGTAAATAAGGTATTTCTGTTTTTTATTTGTAATACATTTGCAAAAATTTCAGAAACCTGTTTTCGCTTTGTCATTATGGGGTATTGTGTGTAGATTGATGAGGATGTTTTATTTATTTAATCCATTTTAGAATAAGGCTGTAACATAACAAAATGTGGAAAAATTCAAGGGTCTGAATACTTTCCGAATGCATTGTATATTCAAAACCATATCCCTGTAATGCTTAGAGAAGATCTCATGTCAAGTGTCATTGAAGTGCTGTGATTGCAGGTTAACCTGCGTCATCTAAAGCCTATTATTTTGGGGTGTTGCTATAGGCCACCAAATGCTAAAACTCAGTTTCTAAATAATGTGTGTGAAATGCTTGATAGTGTATGTGATGTAAACAGAGAGTATTGACTGGTTTTAATCAAGCTGTCCGCTCAAGAGGAAGCATCTCACTGTAACCAGTGCCTGTAATCTGGTTCAGGTTATTAATCAACCTACCAGGGTGTTTACAAACAATACAGGAACAAGATCATCCAACTTTGTTCTAAAGCTGTATCCGTACCCGTTGGACGCAGTGTCACGATCGTCTGAAGAAGCGGACCAATACGCAGCGCGGGGAGTGAACATGATGACTTTATTTAATAAAGCAACCACGAAAAAACAACAAATGACGATAGTGAAGTCCTCTGTAACACTGACAGAAACATGGAACAAAAACCCACAAAACCAAGGAGAAACCACACAGTATAAATATGGCTCCCAATCAGAGATAACGAGCCGACAGCTGACACTCGTTACCTCCGATTGGGAGTCATATGACTAAACAAGCACAATCACCAAACATAGAAATCAACAACCTAGACACCCCAACATAGAAATACACCCAAACAAATGAAAATGAACAACCCTGGCTCAAATATCAAAGTCCATGGAGCCAGAGTGTCACACGCAGTGATCACAATATAGTTGCTATATCCAGGAAAGCCAAAGTTCCAAAAGCTGGGTCTAAAATAGTGTATAATAGATCATACAAAAGATGAGGATGATGTGATGTGGATGACGTTAAAAATATTTGTTGGTCTGATGTGATTAATAAGAAGCATCCAGTATGAAGAATTTGAAGAATTCAGGTGATTGCTTCTTCCAATTATTGATAAACATGCACCTGTTTAGAAACTGACTGTTAGAACTGTTAAGACTCCATGGATTGATGAGGAAATTAACAACTGTATGGTTGAAAGAGATGGAGTAAAAGGATTGGCTAATAAGTCTGGCTTCACATCTGACTGGCTGACTTACTGCACATTGAGAAAATATATAACTAAACTCAACAAAAAACTGTATTAAGATAAATGATATAAAGAATGATGGAAAGAAAACTTTGGAGTACTTTAAATGAAATGATGGGCAGAAAATTAAACTTTCATCGAATCAGATGGCTTATTCATCACAAAACCATTTGATGTTGGCAATTATTTTAATGATTACTTCATTGGCAAAGTGGGCAAACTTAGGCAGGAAATGCCAACAACGAACAGTGAGCCATCGAATTCATGCATTAAAAAACAAATAATGAAAGAAAAGCATTGTTAGAATTTTGTAAAGTTAGTGTGGGAGAGGTGCAAAAATGATTGTTATTGATCAATAATGACAAACCTCCTGGCATTGACAATTTAGATGGTAAGCTACTGAGGATGGTAGCTGACTCTATAGCCACTCTGTCACGCCCTGGCTCTGGGGACGCTTGTATGTTGAGCCAGGGTGTGAGTGTTCTTTGTGTTTTGTGTTTCTAGGGTGTTCTAGTTATTGTGTTTCTATGTTGGCCAGAGTGGTTCTCAATCAGAGGCAACGAGTGTCAGCTGTTGCTGGTTGTCTCTGATTGGGAACCATATTTAAACAGTCTGTTTTTCCACAGTATTTGTGGGATCTTGTTCCGTGTTGGTTTGTGTATGTAACCAGGGACGTCACGTTATCGTTTTGTTGTTTTGTTCGTGTGATCATTATCTATAATAAATATGTTTGCAAATAACGCTGCGCATTGGTCCTCTGTTCCCGACGATCGTGACAGAAGATCCCACCAAAACTGGACCAAGCAGCGTGTCCAGGAGCCATCGCCAGGGGAATCTCTAGCGGATCTCCGTTGCAACCTCGACTGGATCAAGCCAAGTGAAGAGCAGAGAGGTTGGACTTGGGAGCAGTGGAGGAAGAGTCTCGACTGGGCCAAGCCAAGTGAAGAGCAGAGAGGGTGGACTTGGGAGCAGTGGAGGAAGAGTCTCGACTGGGCCAAGCCAAGTGAAGAGCAGAGAGGTTGGACTTTGGAGCAGTGGGGTGAGAGTCTGGCGAGAGATAGGGAGGCCTGGTCCACGGGGAGGAGAGACGCCCAGACATTTTTTAGGGGGGGGGCTCACGCCGTGGACGACGGGGCAGCAGGAGGCCGCAATAGAGCGGTCCAGCGGGTTGGCAGAGGAGGCCGCCAGGTTACGGGGGCCGCTGGTCACAAAGGGGAAGGAAAGTGTAGAGGCACGGCGAGAGGTACTGGGGTGTGTTACCAGTCCGGTCCGGCCCGTTCCTGATCCCCGCGTAGGGCCAGTGGTGTGTGTCCCCAGTACGGTCCGGCCTGTTCCTGTCCCTCGCACCGAGCCTGTGGTGCGCGTCGCCAACCCAGTCCGGCCTGTTCCTGTCCCTCGCACCGAGCCTGTGGTGCGCGTCGCCAACCCAGTCCGGCCTGTTTCTGCTCCCCGCACCAAGCCTATGGTGCGCGTCGCCAGCCCGGCCCGGCCTGTTCCTTCTCCCCGCACCAAGCCAATGGTGCGCGTCGCCAGCCCGGCCCGGCCTGTTCCTGCTCCCCGCACCAAGTCAGTGGTGCGCTTCGTCAGCCCGGTCCGGCCCGCTCCTGCTCCCCGCACCAAGCCTATGGTGCGCGTCGCCAGCCCGGTCCGGCCCGTTCCTGCTCCCCGCACCAGGCCAATGGTGCGCGTCGCCAGCCCGGCTCGGCCTGTTCCTGCTCCCCACACCAAGCCAGTGGTGTGCGTCGTCAGTCCGGCACAGCTTGTGCCTGTTCCACCGGTGCCTGGTCCGGCACCGGTCAGCTGCTCCACGCCGGAGCTAGAGCAATCCGCTCCACCAGTGTTCAGTCCAGCTCCGGCCAGCAGGGCCAGACCGGACCAGGGGTACTGTGGGGGGTTAGAGAGGGAGTGGGGATCATGCCCGGAGCCGGATCCGCCGCCAAGGCGTAGTGCCCACCCGGTCCCTCCCCTGTGGTGTTCTGTTGGCGCGGTCGGAGTCCGCGCCTTTGGGGGGGGGGGGGGGGGGGGGGGTACTGTCACACCCTGGCTCTGGGGACGCTTGTATGTTGAGCCAGGGTGTGAGTGTTCTTTGTGTTTTGTGTTTCTAGGGTGTTCTAGTTATTGTGTTTCTATGTTGGCCAGAGTGGTTCTCAATCAGAGGCAACGAGTGTCAGCTGTTGCTGGTTGTCTCTGATTGGGAACCATATTTAAACAGTCTGTTTTTCCACAGTATTTGTGGGATCTTGTTCCGTGTTGGTTTGTGTATGTAACCAGGGACGTCACGTTATCGTTTTGTTGTTTTGTTCGTGTGATCATTATCTATAATAAATATGTTCGCAAATAACGCTGCGCATTGGTCCTCTGTTCCCGACGATCGTGACACACTCCTATCTGTCATATCTGTGGTCCTCTGTAGCTCAGCTGGTAGAGCACGGCGCTTGTAACGCCAGGGTAGTGGGTTCGATCCCCGGGACCACCCATACACAAAAAAAGAAATGTATGCACGCATGACTGTAAGTCGCTTTGGATAAAAGCGTCTGCTAAGTGGCATATTTAAATTAAAAGAGGAAGGTGTTTGTCCTCAGGCCTGGAGGGAAGCCAAAGTCATTCCGCTACCCAAAAGTGGTAAAGTGGCTTTTACTGGTTCTAACAGTAGACCTATCAGCTTATTGCCAGCTCTTAGAAAACAGTTGGAAAGAATTGTGTTTGACCAGCCTTTGATATTATTGACCATAACCTGTTGTTGAGAAAACATATGTTTTATGGCTTTTCAACCTCTGCCATATTGTGGATTCAGAGCTATCTATCTAATAGAACTCAGAGGGTTTCCTTTAATGGAAGCCTCTCTAATATCAAACATATAGGGTGTGGTGTACCACAGGGCAGCTCTCTAGGCCCTCTACTCTGTTCTATTTATACCAATGATCTGCCACTGACATTAAACAAAGCCTGTGTGTCCATGTATGCTGATGATTCAACCATATACTGTACGTGTCAGCAACCACAGCTAATGAAGTCGCTGAAACCATTAACAAGGAGTTGCAGTCAGTTTTGGAATGGGTGGCCAGTAATAAACTGGTCCTGAACATCTCTAAAACTAAGAGCATTGTATTTGGTACAAATCATTCCCTAAGCTCTAGACCTCAGCTGAATCTGGTAATGAATGGCGTGGCTGTTGAACAAGTTGACTAAATTACTTGGTGTTACCTTAGATTGTAAACTGTCATGGTCAAAACATATAGATTCAATGGTTGTAAAGATGGGAAGAGGTCTGTCCATAATAAATAGATGCTCTGCTTTTTTGACACCACACTCCAAAAAGCAAGTCCTGCAGGCTCTAGTTTTGTCTTCTCTTGATTATTGTCCAGTCGTGTGGTGTAGTGCCTCAAGGAAAGACCTAGTTAAGCTGCAGCTGGTCCAGAACAGAGCGGCACATCTTGCTCTTCATTGTAATCAGAGGGCTAATATAAATACTATGCATGCCAGTCTCTCTTGGCTAAGAGTTGAGGAGAGACTGACTGCATCACTTATTTTTATAAGAAACATTAATGTGTTGAAAATTCCAAATTGTTTGCATAGTAAACTTACACACAGCTCTGACACACACACTTACCCCCACCAGACATGCCACCAGGGGTCTTTTCACAGTCCCCAAATCCAGAACAAACTCATGAAAGCGTACAGTATTATATAGAGCCATTATTGCATGGAACTCCCTTCCATCTCATATTGCTCAAATGAACAGCAAACCTGGTTTCAGAAAACAGATAAAGCAACACCTCACGGCACACCTCTCCCCTATCTGACCTAGATATTTTGTTTGTATGTATTGATATGTAGGCTATGTGTGCCATTTTCATTTTATGTAGTTCTGTCCTTGAGCTGTTCTTGTCTATTAATGTATTATGTTGTTTCATGTTTCGTGTGGACCCCAGGAAGAGTAGCTGCTGCTTTCGCAACAGCTAATGGGTATCCTAATAAATTCAAAAAAATTGCACACACATGCACAAGCACACCACCCTGCTATTCAGAATAATAAATGACAATACATTAGAGATATCCAGATTAGAGATATCAGACATACAAGACACTCACATGTATCTGAGTTCTGACTCTCTTCTGACCAGCACATCTCGAATTCTGTCGATCTTGAATAGCTCTCCCTCAATGTCATCTATGGTGATGGTGGAGTCTGCCATGGAGACAATGTCCTCTTCTGCTTAGAGAGATGGACAGACATTAATTTCGTTCGACTTCTTTCCAGTTCTGCATTTTGGAATTATATGGATATGGTAGAATAGGAAGGCAAACGTGTCCTCACGAGCAAACATGCACACACACACAATTGCACATGCACACACGCACGCACGCACACACTAAGTAACACTGTGACAAGATAAAGCCGGCATCAGTATAAACATGGCTGTATGACACAGCATGTCCTACTGTAGCATCATGGATTAGGTAGCTTGGGACCAGATCATTTTCTTTGTATACTGCCAAGCAAAGCATTGCTTTTGTCTGGTTCAACGCAGGCTAAGGAATTAAATTAGGGTTTGTTCCAGGCTTAATCAAATAGAGACACAGCGAAAACTGAAAAACAGAGAGATATGCTTCTTTAAAAAATTAATCGCTTTTGCTCTGATGAAAACAATTCATTAAAAGTCACAAAATGGGGGCTTCTTCCTCAGTCATTGTTATGAGAAACATTAGAGGTAAACACTTTTGAGCCTTTGAGTAGAAAGAGTTTTTACCACTTCCCCAGCGTGTGAGAAGTAGAGGTGGAAGAACTGTGTTCCTTGTAATTACTGTTGATTGTCTGAACCCACGGAGACTCTGGGGAACCATTTGAGAAAATAGTTGACTATATGAGTGCTCTGGTGCAGACCTGCTCACATAGTGAGTGAGTTAGTGAGTAAATGAGAGAGTGAGTGAGTGAGTGAGTGAGTGAGTGAGTGAGTGAGTGAGTGAGTGAGTGAGTGAGTGAGTGAGTGAGTGAGTGAGTGAGTGAGTGAGAGAGAGAGAGAGAGAGAGATAGAGAGAGAGAAAGTGTGTCTGCTTCTGTGTATCCTACCTCCCTCACCACCAGTGGACTTTGAGCGGAAGATAAATCACAAAGAAAAATACATTTAAGTATGAACAGCTACTTATGGGGTTATACAGCGGTGGCCAGACATCGGCACAAGGAAATACCTAGCAGAATTACATTATAATAAATACTAACGTGTATGTCAATGTGCATTTCTTGAATTTATGCAGGACACATCTTGCCAGGCCATTTCTTTAAGTTGCTTTATAACATTTACTTGGCTTTTTACTCCTTTGGTAACCAGAGTGTAATTCCATAGCAACTGTAGACTACTGTAGTTAGGTATAACAACAATTAACTTGTTCTGAAGGGAAACCACTACAAGTGAGAAATAAATTATTATCTACAGTTATTATACAGTTGCCGTGGTCTTACAAATTGTGACAAAGTTGTTACAACATTTCAGTAACGTAAAAGTGTGTCCATACAATGTTAAAACAATTACTACTGGTAGTATACCATCCTTTACCACTATTCCATGATTCCATCTAACCTGCTGTTACACAATGTGATCATAGATAATGCATTATAAGCTTCGCCATATCTCAGCCGCTAAATCTAACCCTTTATTCTGTCTGCCCCAAGCTGTTAACATCAAGCTTTGTTTTCCCTCAGAGTCCCAATAACTAGTGTGGGACGGAGCAAGTTCAAAGCATTTCAGCTTCAGACCCACCGCAGAATTTCAATCGAGCCAAACACTCTACCATGAAATCAAACATTCAACTGCATCCACCTCCCCAACTCCCTATTGCTTTCACAGATTTACACCTACCAGTTGCACAAAAGAGGATTATACATTTATTTACCATCTGATCCTAGATCAGTATTGATTGATCAAACGTTCAACTGCATCCACCTCCCCAACTACCTATTTCTTTCACAGATTTACACCTACAAGTCACAGAAAAAACAGATTACCAGTGCCTTGCAAAAGTATTCATCCCCTTGGCGTTTTTCCTATTTTGTTGCATTACAACCTGTAATTTAAATTGATTTTTATTTGGATTTCATGTAATGGACATACACAAAATAGTCCAAATTGATGAAGTGAAATGAAAAAAAATAACATTTTTCCAAAAATTCGAAAAACTGAAACGTTTTTCGAATTTGCCAAGAGAGGGCTCCCACTAAATATCATGGCCCAGGCAAGGAGGGCATTAATCAGAGAGGCAACTATGAGACAAAAGATAACCCTGAAGGAGCTGCAAAGCTCCACAGCGGAGATTGGAGTATCTGTCCATAGGACCACTTTAAGCCGTACACTCCACAGAGCTGGGCTTTACGGAAGAGTGGCCAGAAAAAAGCCATTGCTTAAAGAAAAAAAAGCAGCAAACATGTTTGGTGTTCACCAAAATACATGTGGGAGACTCCCCAAACATATGGAAGAAGGTACTCTGGTCAGATGAGACTAAAACCACCACTGACTGAACAGAGAATCTGATAGTCTCCCCTTTGCCTCCTGAGGGATAAGACTGTCTGCTTTGATACCTTTTACAATGGCAAATACATACAAGATGTGTGTTTTGTCCGGAAGTCAATTGAAAATAAAGCAGAGAGAGAAGGGTGAGGGAGAGAGAGAGAGAGAGAGAGAGAGAGAGAGCGAGAGCACTAAAGAAAGAGAAAGAGATATATCCTTTTCTCCTCCTCACACATAGGCTAGCCCCAGGGATGGCAGACTGGACTGGGCTTGATGTGCAGAATCAGATATAACATCCTTTGGAGGGAGCTGAAAGGAAGAGAAGAGGTGTATTCTAACCAATGCCATCCTCCTCTCTTTGATGTTGACGAAACAGTCTATCACTCTGTCATACAGTACACGCTTTTATTTTTTGTTGTGCTAAGCTACCTGGCTAAAAGGCTTGCTCACTAACCTCTTCCATTCATCGGCAATGTTAGCTAATTAACATTAACCTTCTACATCTAGCTACATATTGAACTTCCATCCTCTCAGGTCAGGGGCACAATAATGTATGAATTAAGGGTTGGATCAGAATTGCCATTATAATCATTGGCCAGTACGGAGAATTAAGTAAAACCAACAAGTCCAAATCCCTATCTCCATCCATGGCTAATTTAGGAAAGGGCCAATTTTAGCTAGCTGACTAGCTAGCCAAAGGAGGATAACAACACAGCGAGATGCAGCAATTCAAGTTTTTCTGTCAATGACGTATGCTCTCAATGGGATTTGACAGGAGTGACGACAAATCCAAACTGGCTTCCCTTGACACTTTTTTTTGGTGCGCCAGGACCATTCACAGTTGAGCTCGCTCAGTTTAGCTCAACGCTGATTGGCAAATGTTTTATACTTTTTTTGTCAAGGGAGGCCAGATGCTTGCTGGCTTCCCTTGAATTCAATGCTACGGGTGGCAACAATATCATACTCGTTTGGACCAGACAGCATCAGATAGATGGCCTACACATAAAGAGACAGAGGGTGTTTCGCTCGCTCGGATGCTTTCTCCTGTGAGATACATTCAGCCTCTTGCGAATTCAAGTTAAATTATGAAACACAGCGAGACGAAAGATAAATTATTGTATGTTTAAAAAAAAAAAATATTGGTCCCATTTTTTTGGGAAAGCCTGGCTTCCCTTGGCATCCATGACTACACAGCACTGCTGACTAGGCTCTGTGACCTTAGGCTTGTACTGAGAGAGTTAAAGAGCTGAAGAAAAGAGACTTAATGACTATCAGCAGTGTATATTCACTCATATCCCTTTTGCATCTGTCAGCATTGTATTGTGTACAAGCATGAGACTCCCAAAGAGCACTCAGCTTTCTCAGCCAGGCACAAAGGATGCATACTTATCTATATTATTATCTATATAGTATCTCTATTTGCACATCATCTCTTGCACATCTAGCATTCCAGTGTTAATACTATTGTAATTATTCTGCACTATAGCCTATTTATTGCCTTCCCTCCATAACTTGCTACATTTGCACCACACTGTATATATATTTTCTGTTGTATTTCTTGACTTTATGTTTTTTTTACCCCATATGTAACCTCTGTGTTGTTTTTTATTGCACTACTTTGCTTTATCTTGGCCAGGTCGCAGTTGTAAATGAGAACCTGTTCTCAACTGGCGTACCTGGTAAATAAAGGTGAAATAAAAAAAATAAAAAAAAATATGATCTTCACAGAGCCGCTCAGCTGTGTTACTATGACAAACTTCCTGATGTGACCTGCTACGACAGCGCTTACGTCAAGACAACTATGGCACTTTTACGCCGGAGGGAGTGTCACGGTTCAGACAGACGACCAGAGGACCACAATTGCGTCACACCAGAAAGTTTATTAAAACTTAAGGGAAAGGGAGTGGGATGATGAGGCTCCAGGGGAAAAACGAAGGTG